GGAAATTTCTAAACACAAATTGACAGATTGGATGAAATTTTTGCCCAGAAACCAATTAGTCAGTTAATCGAAAACCAAATTGAAGTACTGGGAGTCAAAATCCCAAATAAAATTGCAAAATCATATTCATATTGTTCTAATGTAATCTCTGTCCCATTTTCAGTTTTTGAAGATGAAATTTTCCAGGACCCAAATTTTACAGATGAGACTGATTTTTTCATCCGCAACCAATTAGTAAGTCAACTATAAATGCCAAATGATACGATCGAGGTGCTGGAAGTTTGATTTCGGTCAGAGGAAGCCCACAGCAGAAAGCTTAACAAAACGAAAAGTTGTATTTTCAAAATGCTGTCCCATTTTCAAATATGAAATTTTCTTAACACAAATTTGACAGATTGGATGAAATTTTTGTCCAGAAACCAATTAGTCAGTTAATCGATGATGGTATGAAACCAAATTGAAGTACTGGCAGTCAAAATCCCGAATAAAATTGCAAAATCATATTGACCCAATCTCTGTCCCATTTTCAGTTTTTGAAGATGAAATTTCCAGGACCCCAATTTTACAGATGAGACTGATTTTTTCATCCACAACCAATTAGTAAGTCAACTATAGATGCCAAATGACACGATTGAGGTGCTGGAAGCTTGATTTCGGTCAGAGGAAGCCCACAGCAGAAAGCTTAACAAAACGAAAAGTTGTATTTTCTTGTATCACGTGGTGACCCCCACGGTCGCTTCACTGTAGCGTCTTCGACGCTACAGGGGGGGCCGCGCACTTCGTGCGCGGCGGGTCATACAACGTATGACAATGGACAAGTATTTTCAAAATGCTGTCCCATTTTCAAATATGAAATTTTCTAAACACAAATTTGACAGATTGGATGATATTTTTGCCCGGAAACCAATTAGTCAGTTAATCGATGATGGTATGAAACCAAATTGAAGTACTGGGAGTCAAAATCATGAATAAAATTGCAAAATCATATTGACCCAATCTCTGTCCCATTTTCAGATTTTGAAGATGAAATTTCCAGGACCCAAATTTTACAGTTGTGACTGATTTTTTCATCCGCAATCAATTAGTAAGTCAACTATAGATAAGATGCCAAATGACACGATTGAGGTGCTGGAAGTTTGATTTCGGTCAGAGGAAGCCCACAGCAAAAAGATTAACAAAACGAAAAGTTGTATTTTCAAAATGCTGTCCCATTTTCAAATAGGAAATTTCTAAACACAAATTTGACAAATTGGATGAAATTTTTGCCCAGAAACCAATTAGTCAGTTAATCGAAACCAAATTGAAGTACTGGGAGTCAAAATCCCAAATAAAATTGCAAAATCATATTCATATTGTTCTAATGTAATCTCTGTCCCATTTTCAGTTTTTGAAGATGAAATTTCCAGGACCCAAATTTTACAGATGAGACTGATTTTTTCATCCGCAACCAATTAGTAAGTCAACTATAGATGCCAAATGATACGATCGAGGTGCTGGAAGTTTGATTTCGGTCAGAGGAAGCCCACAGCAGAAAGCTTAACAAAACGAAAAGTTGTATTTTCAAAATGCTGTCCCATTTTCAAATATGAAATTTTCTTAACACAAATTTGACAGATTGGATGAAATTTTTGCCCAGAAACCAATTAGTCAGTTAATCGATGATGGTATGAAACCAAATTGAAGTACTGGCAGTCAAAATCCCGAATAAAATTGCAAAATCATATTGACCCAATCTCTGTCCCATTTTCAGTTTTTGAAGATGAAATTTCCAGGACCCCAATTTTACAGATGAGACTGATTTTTTCATCCACAACCAATTAGTAAGTCAACTATAGATGCCAAATGACACGATTGAGGTGCTGGAAGCTTGATTTCGGTCAGAGGAAGCCCACAGCAGAAAGCTTAACAAAACGAAAAGTTGTATTTTCTTGTATCACGTGGTGACCCCCACGGTCGCTTCACTGTAGCGTCTTCGACGCTACAGGGGGGGCCGCGCACTTCGTGCGCGGCGGGTCATACAACGTATGACAATGGACAAGTATTTTCAAAATGCTGTCCCATTTTCAAATATGAAATTTTCTAAACACAAATTTGACAGATTGGATGATATTTTTGCCCAGAAACCAATTAGTCAGTTAATCGATGATGGTATGAAACCAAATTGAAGTACTGGGAGTCAAAATCATGAATAAAATTGCAAAATCATATTGACCCAATCTCTGTCCCATTTTCAGATTTTGAAGATGAAATTTCCAGGACCCAAATTTTACAGTTGTGACTGATTTTTTCATCCGCAATCAATTAGTAAGTCAACTATAGATAAGATGCCAAATGACACGATTGAGGTGCTGGAAGTTTGATTTCGGTCAGAGGAAGCCCACAGCAAAAAGATTAACAAAACGAAAAGTTGTATTTTCAAAATGCTGTCCCATTTTCAAATAGGAAATTTCTAAACACAAATTTGACAGATTGGATGAAATTTTTGCCCAGAAACCAATTAGTCAGTTAATCGAAACCAAATTGAAGTACTGGGAGTCAAAATCCCAAATAAAATTGCAAAATCATATTCATATTGTTCTAATGTAATCTCTGTCCCATTTTCAGTTTTTGAAGATGAAATTTCCAGGACCCAAATTTTACAGATGAGACTGATTTTTTCATCCGCAACCAATTAGTAAGTCAACTATAAATGCCAAATGATACGATCGAGGTGCTGGAAGTTTGATTTCGGTCAGAGGAAGCCCACAGCAGAAAGCTTAACAAAACGAAAAGTTGTATTTTCAAAATGCTGTCCCATTTTCAAATATGAAATTTTCTTAACACAAATTTGACAGATTGGATGAAATTTTTGCCCAGAAACCAATTAGTCAGTTAATCGATGATGGTATGAAACCAAATTGAAGTACTGGCAGTCAAAATCCCGAATAAAATTGCAAAATCATATTGACCCAATCTCTGTCCCATTTTCAGTTTTTGAAGATGAAATTTCCAGGACCCCAATTTTACAGATGAGACTGATTTTTTCATCCACAACCAATTAGTAAGTCAACTATAGATGCCAAATGACACGATTGAGGTGCTGGAAGCTTGATTTCGGTCAGAGGAAGCCCACAGCAGAAAGCTTAACAAAACGAAAAGTTGTATTTTCTTGTATCACGTGGTGACCCCCACGGTCGCTTCACTGTAGCGTCTTCGACGCTACAGGGGGGGGCCGCGCACTTCGTGCGCGGCGGGTCATACAACGTATGACAATGGACAAGTATTTTCAAAATGCTGTCCCATTTTCAAATATGAAATTTTCTAAACACAAATTTGACAGATTGGATGATATTTTTGCCCAGAAACCAATTAGTCAGTTAATCGATGATGGTATGAAACCAAATTGAAGTACTGGGAGTCAAAATCATGAATAAAATTGCAAAATCATATTGACCCAATCTCTGTCCCATTTTCAGATTTTGAAGATGAAATTTCCAGGACCCAAATTTTACAGTTGTGACTGATTTTTTCATCCGCAATCAATTAGTAAGTCAACTATAGATAAGATGCCAAATGACACGATTGAGGTGCTGGAAGTTTGATTTCGGTCAGAGGATTAGAGGAAGCCCACAGCAAAAAGATTAACAAAACGAAAAGTTGTATTTTCAAAATGCTGTCCCATTTTCAAATAGGAAATTTCTAAACACAAATTTGACAGATTGGATGAAATTTTTGCCCAGAAACCAATTAGTCAGTTAATCGAAACCAAATTGAAGTACTGGGAGTCAAAATCCCAAATAAAATTGCAAAATCATATTCATATTGTTCTAATGTAATCTCTGTCCCATTTTCAGTTTTTGAAGATGAAATTTCCAGGACCCAAATTTTACAGATGAGACTGATTTTTTCATCCGCAACCAATTAGTAAGTCAACTATAGATGCCAAATGATACGATCGAGGTGCTGGAAGTTTGATTTCGGTCAGAGGAAGCCCACAGCAGAAAGCTTAACAAAACGAAAAGTTGTATTTTCAAAATGCTGTCCCATTTTCAAATATGAAATTTTCTTAACACAAATTTGACAGATTGGATGAAATTTTTGCCCAGAAACCAATTAGTCAGTTAATCGATGATGGTATGAAACCAAATTGAAGTACTGGCAGTCAAAATCCCGAATAAAATTGCAAAATCATATTGACCCAATCTCTGTCCCATTTTCAGTTTTTGAAGATGAAATTTCCAGGACCCCAATTTTACAGATGAGACTGATTTTTTCATCCACAACCAATTAGTAAGTCAACTATAGATGCCAAATGACACGATTGAGGTGCTGGAAGCTTGATTTCGGTCAGAGGAAGCCCACAGCAGAAAGCTTAACAAAACGAAAAGTTGTATTTTCAAAATGCTGTCCCATTTTCAAATATGAAATTTTCTTAACACAAATTTGTCAGATTGGATGAAATTTTTGCCCAGAAACCAATAAGTCAGTTAATCGATGATGGTATGAAACCAAATTGAGCGACTGGGAGTCAAAATCCCGAATAAAATCATATCACATATTGTCCCAATCTGTCTCATTTCAGTTTTTGAAGATTAAATTTGCAGGACCCAAATTTCACAGTTGTGACCGATTTTTCATCCGCAACCAATTAGTAAGTCAACTATATATATGCCAAATGACACGATTGAGGACTGGACGTTTGATTTCGGTCAGAAGAGGCTCACAGCAAAATAAGCTTAAAATATGCCAGATTAAAGCGCTTTTTATAATAACACTGACTGTATGAACCAATTATGTCATGTGGGGTGGGATGATCCAGAATCAGTGTTTCAAAATTCTTAGATTCAAGTTGGTGTCTACAGTCGGAAATATCTCGAAATTAGATCGTCGTGATTCAGCAAGACCCGTTTATTAACGCCTTGGTCCATAAGACGGTTCCCGCTTTTTATTGATATATAATTTATTCGCTTGCATTTGCAAATACATATATGCGGTGAAAGGTTTACAAATAAAAACAGCCATTAAATTTAAGATTCGTTTGTGACACATTGTTAAATACAAAGAAATATTATGTAGCAATTCGAATTTTGTTACGTTATCAATATCATGAAAAATAAAAGCAGCGCGCATCAAACCCAAGCTTTGAAGGGAATGCAAATAACATAGCATAAAAATTGCAACTTATTTTCGAAATTCACATACTGTTCGATAACCTCTATTCCATATTCTGGTCTTATCAATTGTTTCAAAAACATTCAAGTTCAGTTTGGATCGGAGTCACGTTCTTGAGAACAGTGGGTTATAACGTTTGGGGATTCCATAGATTTGTTTACGCTTCATCGTCGGAATTGATTGTTAGGATTGTTCAGGAAAGGAGGTGCGCCAGCGTTAAATGGCGGTGGAGCCCATTGAAGAGGTGGTCCGTTTGGTTGGGTAAAGTTTATAGCAGCCGGAACGTTCCCAAATTGCTGGGCGGGGCCAGGAGGAGGTTGACTGAATGGCATCGGTGGCGGCTGCATCATCGGGTTGGTTTTGTAAGTTTGAACCTGTTGAACCTGTTGCTGAACTTTCTGGTAAGTGTTAGGGCCCGGAGCTTGTGGAGGCTGTGGAACATTCCCATAAGTGCTTGGTTTTGTGTTGACCATCTCCTTAACACCTTGCAACGATTTCAATAGATCGTTTATTTGGTTAGATTGCTGTCCAGTACTCGGCCTTGCCTCGCTCCTAGCACTACTATAGGTGTCAGATCTAGAAGGTCGGGATGAAGAAGAAGAAGAAGATGAGGGGTTATAGTTGGAGCTTGTGTGACCATCCCGGGAGGAACTATGGCTGGAGGAACTGTGTCCGTGAGAAGAACTGTGACCAGGGTTGTGAGAGGAAGTGTGAGCAGATCCGTGACTAGTTCCATGCGAGGAGCTGCCATATGATGAGCCGTGTGATGAGCTCATGTGGGAAGGGCCTCCATGGGAAGAGCTGGGGTGACTCGAGCTGGGGTGACTCGAGCTGGGGTGACTCGAGCTGGGGTGACTCGAGCTGGGGTGGCTGGAGCTGGGGTGGCTGGAGCTGGGGTGGCTCGAGCTACCGTGAGTTGAGCGAGGCCTATCATGAGAGGATCGAGAGTAGGAGTCTCGAGATGAGCTGCGTTGAGAGGTATACTCCTGTACAGGAGCTGTGGGAGGCTGTTTGTGGGACACCATCAGAGGATTGAAAGAAGGCAGGCTAGGAGCTGAAGAATATTTCGGGAAAGTCTGTAATTGTGGTGGCGCTAACGAAGGGGGAGCTGGTCTCGGTTGATTTGTTATCAAATTCGTTATTTGTCCATTAGCTTTCATCTTCTCGAGATTTTCCTTTATCTTCGCTGCGTTGGAAGCATTTTGTGCTTCAATGAGAGCCGCCTTGTTGGTAGCTTTGGAAGACATTGTTTTCACAGTGTTTTGAAGTTGCTTCACAAGAGCTGATTTCAGATCAGCTGCAAGTTTTTCAGTGAGCGATTCTCCAAGCATACCTCCCAAATTCTGAACATTTCCTTGCATAAGAGCCTTGATAGCGGCTTCTTGTTTCGCAGTTTGCTCTCTCAACATCTTCAGCTCCATTTCTTTTCCAGGGGAGCCTGCTGTAACCTTCCGTTCAGTAGATCGTGACTTAGGTCTCCTCCTTTCCCTGGAATGTGACCTCCGTGCTCGTTTAGGAGATCTTGAGTTTCTCCTTCGATCTGGTCTCCTCGGAGATCGTCTGGGAGAACGTCTGTTTCCTAGAGAATGGCGAGAAGGTGGTGACCTGCGAGGAGAGGGACGTTTGTGAAGAGGTGAACGTTTGGGAGGACTGGGTCGTTTAGGCGAGCGGGGCTTAGGAGAGGTCCTTCTGACGGTCCGTTCAGTGATCGGTTTAACTGGAGATTTGGACTTCCGCCTTGGGGACCGGCTCTTACGTCGGGTGGTAGGACTACTTCGTCTTCGAGGAGATCTAGATTTTCTTCTTGGAGACCTGGATTTTCTTCGGGGTGATCGAGTACGTCTCCTAGGTCGTTCAGGTCGGTCAGGTCTTCTTGCAGGGCTTGTTCTTACAGAAGTTGATGGTCCCCCTGTTGAGGGTCCTGGTCCTTTCCTGGTAGCGGAACGTGAGCGAGTTCGTCTTCTGCGATCTGAAGACCTTCTCTTTAAATCGTCAGACTTAATATTTACAGATATCGTCCCCGAACCGGATACGACTCTCCTGTCCCTGTCACCAGCCCTTTCTTTGTCTGAAAATTGGAGTTTTCAATGGATAAATAGCCATTACACCACTCAATCTTGTTAACGAGTAGAATTTGATAAGGGCAGCAGCTCTGATATTTTCATTCTTGGTGATTATTGTGGATAGAAGTCATATTTTAATCTAATTTTAATCCCTTTAATAATTGGGAATAATTTACCTGATCTAGGTTTGCTTTTGTCCTCGGGTGAAGTGTGACGGGGTCTGATGCCAGCTGGTCGACTGCTAGGTTTCAGTTGCTGCTGTCTCATCTTACGCAACACTGCGTTATCTTTCTTGGGCTGGTGGAATATCAAAGTAAGTTGCATGTCTAAGATAAGATGAGAAAAAAATCTTACTGAGACTCAGCATATCTCATATGAACGTAATTCAATGTTCATGCTTGATTTTGTGAGAAAAACAGTTAAACTTATTTTTCATAAAATCTATCGACGAATAAATATCTCTACTATAATTCAGAGAATTATTTCTGTAGGATGTATGTACGACCGCCCACGTGCAAATTCGGTAAAAAGCAAAAGGTTGCAAAGTAACCATGGTAACGACCAAAAAGGGTTGTTACACGCACGTGCACGTGCAAAGATTGTTAGAACGGCATTTTTATCGGTTTTGTTGATATTACGCTGTGTTTAGTGCGAGCAACATTTTAATCGGCTGTATCTTCGGTTGTGTAGGATATTTTTGATTAAACTTACTAACAAAAAATACTATTAGCCCAGACTATATCAATGGACGGGAGGATTAAAGTACTTTCATACACACCAGCATGCTCATTGATGGCTTAAAATGAAGCTAAGACATACTCCTATCAGATCCACCATAAGTTAGATACCATAATAATCATTAAATGTGTCTAAAATGAGGAAGCTTTGACAAGTGCGAGTGGTTTTGGCAAATTTTGGTATAAAATGGGCCCTGAGATCATATTTTTCTCATTAAAATCACATATATCACGAATATTTATGTGTGTTGGGTGTATCCTCATTGGTATCAACCATTTCAATCATCTAGAGCAGCTTTCCTGATTCTTTATCTCATGAAAATGGGCAAAAAAGCTCATAAATAGTCCAAAATCGGTCATTTTCGCCGCTTTAATAACCTCATTCCTGGCACCCAGAACACTTTGGGTACTCAAAACATGATTTTTCGGATACCTCAGACCCCTAACTAGCACATGGAGCCAGAAAGAACAGCATGTAGGGACTTCTAAATTTTCATGGTTGAGAACCCAATGTCACACTATTCGTTCATTAATCCTGCTTTCACTGTTCCCTGTGACCACGGGTTTTCTAGTACATTATAAAGTAACACATTTAAGTTGTGACTCACTCTTGACGTTACAATCTCTTTGTTATGGAGCTTATAACCATTCAGTTTCTGAATCGCTACCCCGGCTTCACTCTCTTGGGACATCGTGACGAGACCGAAACATTTAGCTTCTTTAGCGTTGGGATTCATCACAACTTTCGCACTCATCACCTGCAAAGTACGCCGATCAAAAAGAAGCTCACAAGACGTCAATATCTAATAATACCAGACAAAACAATATCACTAAATAATTTTACTGATATGTAACACCATTGGTCATATAATTATAACAAGCAAATAATTTATCATGAATGGTAAATTATGCGGACAGAAGCAACAATTTACCTTTCCGTAGAGTCCGAAACAGGTTTTGAGATCAAGAGCACGAGTTTGTTTAGTAAGGTTGCTGACCCATATCATCTTCATAATATCCGGATGTCTGAAATGAAACAATTTGAACAAAAGGGCAGGGAATTGTTATTTTTAAACTAGCCATCCGCAAAGAGCATACAGCTTTTATTTCTAAATGATATTTACAGTCAATCATTGCGGACGGCTACAATGATATATCCGTAAGAAGTTCTTAAAATGTTTTCTCAAATAAAAATCACGGTAACAAGATGAATGATTAACAGTGCATTCGCGATTAAAACTACAGACTACTTTATTAATAAACAGCTCAAGTAATAGTCGAGTAAATTGCTGCTCATTAAACGAAATTTTGACTTTCACCCAAACCAATTAGTAGAACTGCATCAGAGTTAGTTGAGCGTATCCGGGGCAAAAACCAACTGCAGCCAAGATATAGAGCGATCGATCAAATTTTAACACAAATCAAAATTACCCTTCTTCCTCCTTTTCGTCAGAAGGCTTATCCTCCTTTTTTGTAGCATCCCCTGGAGCTTCCTCGGCTTTAGCTTCTGCCGGCACAGACTCCTCAGCTGTCTCCTTGGTACCAGTTTCCACGATGGCAATCTCAGACTCCTCTATCTGGAATGAGATCATCTCCTCCTTGTTGTCGTCACCATCTCCGTAGTCCAGCTCGTCACCACCAGCCTTCGTCGTTCAGAAGAGAGCTATCCGGTTCTGTGGTGCCATCTTTACTGGCTTCTTTAGTATCAACATCAAAATTTTGATTGTCCTGTACAGCAGCAGGATCAACGTCAGAGACTAAGGAGCCTTCAGCTGAGGGAGCTTCAGTCACCACCACTGCTGCATCCACAGCTTCAGTGACGGTTTCAGTCTGTTCAGCCTTTGGATCTTCAGATTTTAAGTCGGTCGTGACACTGTCAACTTTTTCTGGAGCATCCTCAGCTGAAGTCTCCTCAGCTACTGGATCTGACTCGGTAGCTCCACTCTGACCAGGTTCGTCTACCATTTCTTCCTTAGGAGGTTCCTCCGATTCTTGGGCTTCCTCTTGTTCGATAGATTTAGTTTCTGAGAAATAGAAGCTTCAACATTTAATTCAAGAACTTAATCTTGAACACCAAATACGTTACCTGTTCCGTTTTACCGGCAAGTTGAATTACGTCAGTCAAAATAGGTTCGTTCGTGTCGTCTCACTCTATCTAGTTGATATATCCATCTACGCTTGAAGTAGGAAGCAACCAAATAGTCCAAGTGCAAGTTGCCCAACTCGTAGTCCAGCAACATTTTTGACATTATACACACTTTGTAGTGGTTTGTCATAAACCCGGCGGCCGGCAACATACGGTGAGATGTCATTTACAATTGGTAAACAAATAGACGTTCTCCAGATATATAATTTAGGGAGTTACAACGAATACATTTTCCTTATTAAATCAGTTTAAAGTTTTGTTAACTTTCATCAAGTCTACAATTTCTTATGACTATAACAAATAGGCGATTATTCTGTGGCTAAATCCCCCAAATTACCGATATTTCAAAACAGTAAAAGGAGGGACCACCTCATTGGAGAAAAAAAAGTATACAAAACCGTCAATAGAATGTTTAATTGGACAGCCAACATTTTAATAGTTTGAACAAAGCTCAGATGTTCAAAAACAGGGTATAGTCGAACGGCTTAGTTGATTGTCACTTTTGCGAACGGTAAACCAATAACTGTATTGAACAACAGACATCGTAAATCAAGAGCTACCAGAATTGATTATTTTCATTGCATATATATGAACAAACAGGGGAATTACGATGAATGTAGACCGGAAACAACAGAGTTACCTAAGGTATTAGCTTGAAAGCAACACGAGGTTCTCTTAATGTTAAGCCATCATAACACACAGTACATACCCGGTTGTTAACAGTTATTTAGTTCTCTATTCTATCAACAAGGCAAGGTGGCCATTGTAAACAGATAAAGCCCATTTCAGACAAATAAAGGGACTTCTCAATAATCAAAAAAATTAAAAAGGAAACAAAACGACGCGAATTTCTCCAAATAGTGGAAGTTAGAATAACATACCTTGTGTATCGTCGTCCTCAGGATCGTCCAGATCTCCAATAACGGTATCCACAATGTTTTCCAGGCCTTCTATGTTCTCCTCCCACTCATCAAGACCATCATCAACAGTGGTTTCTACCTCTTCAGTCTGGCTGGTGGTTTCCTCATCTTGTATCGCCTGAACATTAGAAGTTGAACATCAAAGAGTTGTTTATATAATGGTGCGACTATTTTACACAATAATAAACAGTCTTGTAAAATCAAATATTAATTTTATTCGATTGAGCGTCTCTGCTTCATCAGAAGGAAATCCAGACTTAGGCAAGGACAACTTTTTAAAAGTCACTTTCTAATTTCTTCCAATTCCAATGCTTCTCACGAAAATTTCTTAGTCAGGCGGGGGGGGGGGGGGGGGGTACCAATGGCATAAAATGGCATAAATGGCATACGTTTTATGGCATAAATGGAAATTTTATTGGCGAATTCTCCATTTATGCCATGAATTTAGGTCTTCATATTTGACTTTAAATTCGCAAATTATTATTAGTACTTGAATAAGAGACACGTTTCATGCTTTATAACGCTTGGAATGATCGTTAAAGATTCATATGACAAATAAAGAAATGTATTATATCAAAAATGGCATAAATGGCATACGTTTTATGGCATAAATGAAAATTTTTATTGGCCAATTCTCCATTATGCCATTGGTACCCCCCCCCCCCCCCCCCCCCCCCCCAGTCAGGCCTTCAAAAATGTCCTCTAAAGCAACAAATATTTCCACCCAGTCAGACTAGTCACTAGCGTGTGGAAATGGACACATTCTACCATTCCACGTTACAGTCAACAAATAATTTTACTAGGTTGTTTAAACTAGAGTCTGGTCAGAAATATTTGATCTCGTGATTAAATTGTTCATACATGCTGATAGGCAGTTCATGCTAGAATATTCCATGAAATAAAGATAACATCAGTAGATTAGTCCAAGAGGTTATAGCGTACCTTGAAAAGACGATCGGCCAGCACAGCTTTAGTGCCAGACTTGGCTAGACCCCTGGTTTCCAGTTCCGTCTTCAGCTCCACCACCTTCATCGCTTTAATCTTGGACAATTCCATGTCCTATGTAAGTCAATAAGTAAGATGGATTACCAATGAGATACCTGAATATTCTAATAGATCGACTGCACAATATTCCCAGAGGATAATTCTGGTAAAGCAAATGGATTTAAGACAACTTTTCTGACATTCATATCTTTTGTTCGCCACAATGCTACAGTGACACAGTCTTATGTATTAGGTGACGTAGGAAATACGGGGTGATTTATTAGAAAATATGAGAATTTATTAGTCAAAAGGTTCAAAAGCGGACGCTCGTGCGCGCCGAAAATTTCGCACGAATTGCTAAATGACTTTGGTGCGTTACAGAATAAACGTAGACGCGCGCTACAAAAAGGTAGTGTCACCGTAGCAATATGGAAAGAAAGTTCATTTTCTATTGAGTAAAAACCACTGAGAGTAAAAACCACCATTAGTTTCCGATAAATAAAAACAATAGAAAACTTAGAATTGGATCATCTGTCCCTTCTTCCTCTTCTGGCCTCCGAGTTCGAAGTGCTTACACCTTTTAAGCGACAGCTGGGTTTTCTTGTGGCAATTTTGACATTCCAACCTCAGGACCTGCTTCTTCGTAGTCTTGGCATTCTTTCTGAAAACAGGCTTCGGCTGTCCACCATAACCTCGGAGTTTCATATGATATCTCCTCTCTCCCAGGGCTTTAGGGTTTCGCTTGCCAGCTTTGTATTGAGTAACTTTGTGTTGGGTGTGGCGCTTGCATTCCTTGTATTTGCAGAAAGTCCGCCTTACTTTCGGGATGTTGACCATCTTGCTACTAAGAAATGATTAATGTTATTCAAAGTTATCATAAAATTGAAGCATCAGAGTGTATTTAAAACTGAATGGGAAGACACAAAATGAAACAGTATCAATCTTAAAGCGCCGGCCATTTTTACGAAGGAATTATTTGAAGGCAGTGGTCATGCAATTAATAACCAACCAATAAAAGAAGAAAATTTTAAATGCAAAAAATCAATATTACAAAATTCAAATTAACGTTTCTAAATACTTTCCAAACAGTATACAATATACAATAACACAAACAATTCAATTTAATATGTACAAAATCTATGGCGTCCTCTAACGGCCAAGTCAAAAATACATTTCAACTGAAAGCGTTGCCGACACAGCAAAAATACACTGCAATGCTCACAGGGCCCGGAGTAACAAGATTTAGTCCAAAACAAGTCGGTTATCAATGATCACAGAGCCAGCCTGATCTCTGATTTGAAATAAAATCTACAATTAAACTTTACAAAAATGTACAGAACATTTTTTATAAGACCTAGCTAAGCTCAAACCCAGCCCCAGCCTCAATAACATATTTTAATCTCTTCTCCATGATGTCTCTATCACTAAACTCAGGTAATTTTAACAAGTTCATACATGTACTAGCGGTGGGGAGGCGGTCCTCAGCCCCAGCACTGTGGACAGCAAACAGAGGCAGCAGAGACTTGAATCCAAGTAAGGGTGTTCTGTCTGTACTGGTCACAAACGCCAGCAGTTTCCTGTGCTCTTCAGGACTCATCTCGTCTACAATGTCCCAGAACATTACAATAACTGGGTGTTGAGCGTTGTAGTTACCTTGGTAAACAGTGTTCTCCTTCAGGTCGGATATGTCTATATCAGTTTCACTGCCGGATAATAAGCTCTGAAACTCGGAGTAACTGAACATTTTCAGCCACTCCGGCGGCACCACACTGTAGAAACCCTCCGCAAAGTTCCTGAAGGGAATCCGGATTTGTCTGTTCAACCTGTAGTCAGCCATCAGGTGTATGTACTCTATCAGATTACTCCGTGTCACTTGTATAGCTGAGCCATTTGGTTTCAGCTCTATAGTTTTAGCTTCACCTAAAATATTATCAGATACGATGAAATAGAGACACAGATCAGCAATAGTCTCATCAGTGTAGCCTCTCAGGGATAGAATATTACGGTACATATTAGGGTCCAGAGACCGGAGATTGTTGATGTCAGCAGCACCTCCCAGCAGCTTGTCTAGGAAGTAAGAGGCTAGAGGAATGTCTACCAGCAGTTTCTCGTACACAGCTTTACCTAGGAGACGACCAATAAAGAAGTAGTGTTTCTGATAGTCGGGATACAGATGTTGAGCAGCTGGGTTGGGATGTAATCTCCCGTCTGTTTCTATGAAGAATCCTCTGTTAGGGTTGAAGGCTTCTTTAAGAAATGAGGCTAGGAACTCTCTAAAGAGACCTCCACCATCTACACCAGCCTCATCGAGTCCTGAGTAGTTAATAAGTTGAACCATGATCCTGTTTTTAATGTTAGGAGCCACTGATTCTGTTAGTTGCGCATAAGCATCCTCGTAGATGTACTCCCGTCTGATGGAAGCTTTGATAGTGTTACTACTACCCGGCTGACTCCACCCAGCGTGCCCTCCTCGTGCTTGTTGAGCGTCTTCCTCGAGGATGTCGTGAAATATAGACACCCGCTCACCAAAAGGAACGATGAACGGAACACTGTGAAGAAGATAGAGCTCTTTTATTGTGTTTAAACTGAGGTTAGGGACCGACATGGGATCAATAAACACACCCACGTTGTCTCTGTTGATGTTGTGAATCTTACTTTTAGATAACCACTCCTCTCTGCTCTCAATGAACTCCAGTCTGGAGTCCCTCATGTAGAGCTCGGAAGTGAGCCTGGTAACAGCTGACCAGCACGTGACCCAGTCTCTAGCTGCCAGCACTAATCTACTTTCTAGGTCTGCTAAACTCCCTGGTATGGCTATGTGTCTGGAAGTGAAGGCTGATCTTATATTCAGGGTCTTGTGAGGTTGGATCGCTATCAGGTCCAGGTTAGTGAGGTTGACGGACAGATCTCTGCAGACCTTACATAAGTGCTTGAGCTGGGAAACAGTGAAGAGCATTGTAGAGCCTTCTAGAATATCTGCGTCATGAGAGGAACGCAGGTACTCGTAGAATAAACAACAGAACACGGTTAAGGGAGGGATGAATTCCTGGTATTCAGAGTTGGAGAGAGCTTTGTTTTCTGACATTCTAGCCAAGCATGAAGAGGGTCCAGTGTTGAAGATCCCAGTTACCTGCTGGGTTGACAGATGGTGCCATAGCCACTTCATGAAGCCTGAGTTGAAGCAGAGCCACCGAATGGGGGGAGTCTGTATTACTGACATATTAAACTTAACTATAAGGAGATAGGCAATGGAACTAATGTTTAGGTTAGAGGAAGAATTGGCACAATTCTGAAATAATAAATCCAGGCAATCAAAATTGTAAATTAGTCTGTCCACAACCATTTCGTCTTCTGAGTCCGAGTCTGAAGACTCGTCCCTTGAAATCTCGACTACCTCCGGAATACGATAGCGGTTTAGGATTTTGAATAGGACATCCAGCATTCTGTTGCTGGAGTGGACGTCTGAGATCAGTCTCCCAAAAAAGTGCACAATGATGTCCAAATAATGATTAAAGTTTTCATCTAACTTTTGACACACTAACCGAATGTCAATTGAACCCAGAATGGAGCTACAGAGTTCAGAGGAATTTTTTGATGAAAAAACACGGTCAACTAAAAGTTTGACGTTAGTTAACTTATCATTCAGCACAACATGTTTTAAAATCACCTCGTAATATTTTACGTTAAGATCCCTTATAAGTTGCACCAAAAAGCCCGATTCCTCTTTTGTCCTATCGATAATTTGTATAAGTTTGGCGTAAGACTTGGCTATGTTTTCTAATGTGGTCAATTCTGAAAGACGTTCGGCTGAAAATGATTTGTCCTGAACGATTTTCTGGATAAACTGAAAAGAGGGAACGTTTTGTGAGGATAAAACGATCAGTTGATGATGAGCATCTTCAATACATTTCGTCAAAATCAGTATCCTGGGGTAAGAATTGGAGGGAGCTGAAAAGTCAGTCCACTGCTGCTTAAGAATACGGAACAGTTCAGTCAGACGGTCGTTATCTAACCGAGGATCATAGAAATTACAGAGTAGTCGGGTGCACTTGACTCTGTCCCGGACCTTAATAATACTGTCAAACTGAGCTCTACTTGACTGCTTAACATGAGACCGACTAAGCGCGCCCCTGATGATGCGCTGGATGGTAAGTGCTGCATCCTCTTCTCTGCGCTGAGCAAGGCGTGTCTCCCTTCTCTTGCGGTTTTCAGCTATGACATCCTCTGCAGCGGCTCCTACGTGGCTTGATCCTCTAAGTGTTACAACAGGCTTAGACCGGAACTGTCCATCAAACATGCCTATCAGTAGTTTGTCAGTGTTAATCTGTTATTTAGTATTCTAGTCCTCTTCTTGAAAACATTTGCATTGCAAGAGTGTGCAAGATTGGAAAGGAAAAAATGAGTATGATTATGAACAATAAAAGGTACAAACAAAATAGTAAATCAGATTAATATTTGGGAGGTGAGAAAGCTTTTTTGAATTTTAAGTCAAAACTGAATATTTGTAGATTCTGTATTAGTAGTCAAGTGATACGCGAGCTTAAATAGGATAAAAATCAAATTCCTAAACAGATCTATTCAGCAGGCATGGATCGGATGATGTCTGAGTCGCCAGGGTCTGTGATACAAAGACAGCCTACTCTGAAGTATTTACCACAAGCTGTACCGAGATCAATGTTACTGCCACTGTAATGATGGACTCCCACCTGAAATGAAATTTGTAACCAGGATTTCTCAGCTTTTTAGCTCCATCCTTGGATGAATTAAGAACAATAATTTTAGCGATGATTTTGTAGAATTTAAAATTTTTTAAATTGCACCAAAAATTGGGCATTTACCGAGTCAGTTATCATTCATGCATTAGAGATCAGATCTTACCTTGGCTAACATACAGTAGTACTCGATTTCACTTTTCCTCAAAGCTGGAGTATTATTTGCGATGATAATAAGTTTAGATTTGCCTTGTCTGATAGACTTCAGTGTGCTTCTGTATCCAATAGTGAACTTTCCACTCTTCATTACCAGGGCTAATCTGGAGTTAATGGACTCCATGGCCTTCTTGGTCTTCTTACTGGCTACCATCTTGAGGGTTTTGGTGGTGGACCTTCGCTAATGATGATGCAAATTAGTTACACTCATTAGCGTAATAATTACCTCGATAAGTTTATAAAAGAAAAATTCAGTTCATCTGATTTGCGAATCACATTTAAGATTCGAATCGTGAAAGATTGTCATGGATATAAAATGAAAATGTTAGTATCATAAATAAGTCGAGTGATTTGGAGACAGTGATCAATAAATAAAAACATATAAAATGTAAATCTATTCAGCAGGCATGGATCGGATGATGTCTGAGTCGCCAGGGTCTGTGATACAAAGACAGCCTACTCTGAAGTATTTACCACAAGCTGTACCGAGATCAATGTTACTGCCACTGTAATGATGGACTCCCACCTGAAATGAAATTTGTAACCAGGATTTCTCAGCTTTCTAGCTCCATCCTTGGATGAACTAAGAATGTTGAATTGTAAAATTTGATAAGAATCTATTCATATATTCATATATATGTATTACTATATATATTAACAATCACTGAAGGAAATTTTTCTTCATTTAGTTTTTAGTCATCCAAAGATGCTTCGGAGAATCCTAAATTGTCAATCTAATTATCATCTTATCCCCTAATTAAATCGCAATTTGAGGAGTCTTACCTTAGCCAACATACAGTAGTACTCGATTTCACTTTTCCTCAAAGCTGGAGTATTATTTGCGATGATAATAAGTTTAGATTTTCCTTGTCTGATAGACTTCAGTGTGCTTCTGTATCCAATAGTGAACTTTCCACTCTTCATTACCAGGGCTAATCTAGAGTTAATGGACTCCATGGCCTTCTTGGTCTTCTTACTGGCTACCATCTTGAGGGACTTGGCTAATGTAAAGAGTAAATTAATAATTGGGGATATTTATAACAGGTTAACTAAATTTTAACAAAGCAGTTCAAATCAAAGCAAAACACATTGGCAGTCGATAATCATTTTGTTTGAATTTAATGTAAAATTTATATCTCGATATAAATTTTTCATTTCATCAATTTTGAAATATTGATTCTCGAAAAAGTTTACTAATTAGTTCACTGTCACATCTGTGTATTATATTTACAATCAACAAAACGGTATCCAAATATTACAATTACAAATCGAATTACACTTTTATGTAGCTAATAACCAAATGCTCAATTGGCTTTTGTAGTATATCACAAGACTAACGCGACGGTGGCTGGGGGTCGATATAAGAATAATCAAAACTGGGGTTATGTAAAAAGAGCACAAAGGCAAAGGCGTGAGAACTATAATACATAATTTAGTCCATGAAGTTTCAATGTCTTTGAATAATTTACAACGTTCCAGGGCTAAGAGGTCCACATTTACCATCCAATGTCGTTTCGCATTTTCCACTCATAGAAGAAGTAGATGGAAAAGGGGATAGAAGCTCCTGTGGCTGCTAGAGTTAAGAAGTAAGGTCGAGGAGACTTCCACCTTTTGGGGAAGAATGGCATATTCTGAAATTGACTGATGTGAATCAACTATTGAGTCTTGATCAACAAGGCGGCTCACAGAGGTGAGAAAATGAGCATAGGACCCTAGACTCTGCTCTCGAATTATAAATTAAACAAAAGGAAGAGGTTTCTCCGAGTGGACCCAGAAAGCAGAATTAATCTTTCAACAATACTGAACCACCAAATAAGAGCGCCAAATAATGAATACGACGTGAAAATAGGACAATACTCAATTTAAACAGATACTTTTATTTTACAGTAAAGCAATTTAAAAAGTTATCTTATGAATTTGAATGAAATGACTAAACTATGTTAATGGTTAAATTTTAAAGATCTTATGAAGCTTCTTTACTCACTGATCCAGGATAGTTGTCTCCACCACCACCCATGTTACGGCGGCCAACCGTACGGGAGAGCTGTTGAACAGCCCGGGTTACTATCATCCTGTATTAGTTAATTAACATTATTATGTTTATGATTTAAGTTATTAGTGGAAACCAATTCAGAAAAGTCCATTTTATTATTTCGTAAGTACACCATTAATGCTAGGATAAGTCACCATAAATTTAATATTGTATTGGGGGTTATATTAATATTAATATGTTTGTTTAGTACTATTGACATATTCGTTGCTATTTTTCGTGCTCTGCTAATTGCATCACTTGATTTGATTGAACGTATGTATTATTTGAATGACCTTTTCATTTTGTATTGTGATATGGAATGATGGTGCCCACACAGAGTCTTACATCTCGATACAAGGAGGAGTATTGCCAATAACTGTTAGTCATGAAAGGGGCACCACAGAAATTTAGATTTCATCACAACATTCAGCCACGATACATAGCTAAAGAAGTGTTAATCTCAAAATTTTCTTTGCTCATATTAAAATAAAAAGACACTTCTTCCAGTCAAAGGAAGAAGCTTAATAACTTGAAAGAGGACGGTTGTGTATAACTTGATGTGAATGATTTGTGTTATAAATTTTTTTTTTTTTTTTTTTTTGAAATAAATTTTCGTGCACATACAGAATGAATGGTTAATAATTTAATATATATGTAGACCAAGGTCTGTGCACGGGATGCTTCCTGGAAGAATCCAGTTCTTTTAGCGGGGCACCCTACCTAAAGCCAAATTGAGATATAATAATCATATTCCTAGAGAAATAATCAGAAATCGAATAACAATCAAATAATATGATATATAGGAGTAGTAACCATATTTACTATGCAAAATGCCCCAACCACATAGTGTAAATTTATTTAGAATTCAAATTCCATATCATCATTAAACCTCAATAGTCAATATAATAGCCCAAGCAAAATTAAGTAACTTCTTATATACCTTACTGTCATACTACAAATTAATTAAACATTTGAAATCTGTTAACCAGAGAATAAATTTCTAAACCTAATGCAAGTGAAATAATTTAGATGCAATAATGAATGCCTAATGTGAGTATCATCTGTCAATGTCCTTGTAAAAAAGTCTGTAAAAGAGATATGAGTAACTAATATAGAAGAAAAAACAGGAAGTTGTCGTCTGTTGAAAAATAAATAAAATACCTAGAATATAAATTAGAATATAAAATAACATTCAGTCAATGTGTCGTCAATAAACTGTACAATTATCAAATGTTAAAACTGGGTGATACAGTCACCAAAAATAAATACTAAGTATAATAAGTAAATAAATTAAATGTGGTCTATAAAACTACCACTAGGTATAATAGGTCAATAAATTAAAAGTGGTTTATAAAACTACCACTGCACTGTGCGAACCCTTTCTCCAGTTAAAACATGTCAGTCATGTGCAAAATCAATCAAAATGGTAAGGTGGTAAAAAAGGGAAAATCCTTTCGATACATCAATTATATATGCCTCAGATTTAAAAGAATTAGAAGATACTTAGTTATCGTCGACTATGATTGCAGTGTAAAATTTGTCATATGGTCTGTTGTTATAGATGAGAGTAGCTGTTTCTTATACGAATCACTAAGGCTTTTAACATCGGGCAGATTTCGTAGATCTGTTGGAACATTATTCCAACATTTTGCCCCCAAGTATTGAAAGTTTTTATGTGATGTTGATCTATTAACATATAGGTTGCAGCTTTCGCCGCTCCTACTACCGGTTCTTTTGCGATAGTCAAAACGCGACAACTAGCGCTGGATGGCGACAACTAGCGCTATCCAGCGCTAGTTGTCGCCATCCAGCGCTAGTTGTCGCTATCCAGCGCTGGATAACGCTGGCCAGCGCAAAATATATATCTTCGATAATTGTCGCTATCCAGCGCTAGTTGTCGCCATCCAGCGCTAGTTGTCGCCATCCAGCGCTAGTTGTCGCTATCCAGCGCTAGTTGTCGCTGGCTATGCGACACTGTCGCACGCGATAGTTTGCGATGGCCAGCGCAACTGGCCATCGCAGAAAACAGTTCGATAACTAGCGCTGGCCAGCGCTGGATAGCGACAACTAGCACTGGATGGCGACAACTAGCGCTGGCCAGCGCTAGTTGTCGCTATCCAGCGCTAGCCAGCGCTGGCCAGCGCTATCCAGCGCTAACCAGCGCAAAATATCAATTTTTGATAAATTTTCGATAAATGTTCGATAAATGTCGCGACAAATAGCGCTGGATAGCGACAACTAGCGCTGGCCAGCGCTAAGCGATAGCCAGCGCTGGCCATTGATATCCAGCGCAAAATTTTTGCGCTATTACTCGTCAGCTAGCGCTAGCCAGCGCTAACCAGCGCTAGCCAGCGCTAGCTGACGAGTAATATCGCAACTATATTGCGCTGGCCAGCGCTGGCTGACAAGTAATACTAATATCGAGCGTGCTAAATCACTCTACAGTAGTTCTTCGAGATTGTTCTAAAAGGGCCCCCGATGGTTGTAACCAACTTCAATCGATGTATTTTCGGACGCTAATTCCGAATCAAACCCCATGGGCCCATGACATATAATAGTGTTAAAATGCTCTCCTGACGAGATATTGGCGAAAAACTGTACATGTATCGATCACGTGATATGACCGTATAAGGAAGTTAGTCTAATTTCTCGTTATTGTTAGGGTTTCAGCATATGTTTTTGTTAAGGATTGGGTTAGGGTTAGGGTTAGGGTTGGGATCAGATTAGAGGGTCAGGGTTTCGAAAAGTCGTTCAGAACCAGCTAGAGTCAGAGAATGGGTTAAAAAAGTCACGTGACAGTCGAGTGTAAAGTGATTAATCATCATCCGAGTAATATCGCAAGTATATGATTTTGATACATTGCGCTGGCTAGCGCTGGCTAGCGCTGGCTAGCGCTGGATAGCGAAAACTAGCGCTGGCCAGCGCTGGCTAGCGCTGGATAGCGACAACTAGCGCTGGCCAGCGCTGGCTAGCGCTGGATAGCGACAACTAGCGCTGGCTAGCGCTGGCCAGCGCTAGCTGACGAGTAATAGCGCAAACATTTTGCGCTGGATATCGATGGCCAGCGCTGGCCAGCGCTGGCTATCGCTTAGCGCTGGCCAGCGCTAGTTGTCGCTATCCAGCGCTAGTTGTCGCTATCCAGCGCTAGTTATCGAACTGTTTTCTGCGATGGCCAGTTGCGCTGGCCATCGCAAACTATCGCGTGCGACAGTGTCGCATAGCCAGCGACAACTAGCGCTGGATAGCGACAACTAGCGCTGGATGGCGACAACTAGCGCTGGATGGCGACAACTAGCGCTGGATAGCGACAATTATCGAAGATATATATTTTGCGCTGGCCAGCGTTATCCAGCGCTGGATAGAGACAACTAGCGCTGGATGGCGACAACTAGCGCTGGATAGCGCTAGTTGTCGCCATCCAGCGCTAGTTGTCGCGTTTTGACTATCGCAAAAGAACCCTACTACCTCCTGATATGTAACTAAATTTGTTCATAAAGTTTGTAGGACAATTGTCATGGATGATTCTAAACATATAATTTGACAGATGGAGTTGTCGTCTAAGATGGAGTGGTAACCATTTCATGTCTCTATAAACATTAAGGCTGCTCTCTGTTTGTGGAACGTTGAGAGCTATTTTGGCTACCTTTTTGTACAGAGTGTCAAGTTCAGCAAGTTTTGTCTTGCCAGCTCTACAATAGATCGTGTCTAAATAATCGAATTGTGGCAACATAAGTGCATTGGCAAACATTTTCCTATATTTAATGGGTAGCAGTGCTTTACTTCTATACATGGCACCAATTCTCTTCATGACCTTCTTAATAATATAATCTACATGGCTTTTGAAGTTTAATTTACTATCTAGAATGAGGCCAAGATATTTTGTCTCTTTGCACTCCTTGATTGTGAAAGTTACCTCATTACATTCAATGGTTAATTCATCATGTTGATCAACAGAATCAAACAATAGGAATTCAGTCTTCTTTTCATTGAGTGATAATTTATTTACACTGAGCCATTTAAAGATTGTCATAAGTTCTATTTTCATGTTTATAAATGTGCTTCTGCAGGTTTGATCAAAGAATAGTGCACCATCATCTGCAAATAGAAAGGGCTTAGATAGGTTACAGGCATAAATGATGTCATTTATGAAGATACTAAATAATATAGGCCCAATGATGCTTCCTTGTGGTACACCACTCAGAACTTCTAAAAATGAACTTATTTTGCCATTGATCCTAGTGCATTGATATCTACAAGATAAGAAGTTCTTAAACCAGGTTAAAGCAATGCCACCAATTCCATAATATGCCAATTTTTGAAGCAATATTTCATGATTCACTGTGTCAAAGGCCTTCTTAAGATCAAGAAAGATGATTCCTGGTTTATAAGACTTAGATTTACTCATATATATTTCGTCCATCAGATCGTACATCAAATAAGTTGTGGAGTGATTTTTCCGAAAGCCATATTGATGCCGGATGAAAAGTTTGTTCTCTTCCATGTAATCAGTGAGTTGCTTGCCGACAAAGTATTCTATAAGTTTTCCTACAAGTGGAAGGATGGATATTGGCCTGTAATTATTAGGATCATCTTTCATTCCTGCCTTATGGATGGGAGTAACTCTAGCTTTTTTACAAAGGGTTGGTACAACACCTGTATTAAGGCTCAAATTGACAATATGGGTCAGTGGCTCAACTATGTGTGGTACAGCTTGCTTAAGTAAAAATAGAGGCACATCGTCATATGAGGCCTTGTCATTCTTGAGCGTTTCGACATACATTAGGATATCAGTTTCATTTATTTCTTGGAATCTATCAAATGAGATGTTAGAAGTTCTAGGAGGTAACAAATCAGTAAAACTAACTCTTTCAATATTGGGGGCCTGATTTTGTAATCTTGATCCAACATTTGCAAAATGAAAGTTAAATAGCTCAGGATCATTCTCATTGATAGTTTGACAATTAGTTGTACCAGGGGTCATATTTGATGCCAGTTTGATAGTTTTCCATACCCCTTTAAGATCATTCTTGGCACTTTTAACTTGTAGATCATCGATTACATTAGCCTTTTTGCAGGTTTTAGCTAATTTATTTCTAATATTTCTCTGAATCTTGTAGCAATCCCAGGCCTCATTACACTTTATACATTTGCTACATATACCACATTTATTGCAATTTCCATTGTCTCTCTTATCCTTCTTTTTACGGAATTTCTTTAGAAGAAAATGTGTATGATTAATGGCATTTAAAAGTTCAGTAGAAGGTTTATGTATGAACTTTTCATGCCTTTCTATGGTCTTGCAAGGGAAGAAGGTTGCATATGCCTGTTCAATATGATGACAAAGGCCAGCAGTGATAGCTTCAACATCTGTACTTTCCAATAGTGGACTGTAATCAGAACAGGTATCTAGATAGTCTAAGAATTGTTTAACATTACGTTTACAATGATTTCCAGGGGTCGACCGAGGGCAGGATTTTCGACCGAGGCCGAGGCCGAGGAAAATACAGTTAGTTAAGACCGAGGCCGAGGACAACCGAGGTTTCTTTTTTTGACCGAGGCCGAGGCCGAGGCCGAGGAGTGCAAATTTTGACCGAGGCCGAGGCCGAGGCCGAGGAATTTTGGCAGAAAAATTGTTGGGAAAAAGGGCATTGTTTATTAGGAAAAGCGCACTGTACCTAATCAGATTGTACTGTGTACTATACTGTGTACTGGTACACACGTTACAATCATTATGAAGGGGCAAGTTCGCCAAGAGTCAGGAGTGGGCATGCCCAGGCAGGATCTGAGTAATTGACAGTGAAATTTGAAATATTCTATCAGAAGCGTGCACGTGGTGAGATGGATGGTGTCGGTGCATCAGGTACAACCAAACACTCGGGCTCCGGCAGCCATCTTGTAATCAGTTCATAATTTGTTGTTTTGTCTTCGTAGCTGTTAGTGTTGCGTCAGTAATTAATTATTGCTATTTGCCCATTTTCTTTATCCCTACAATTACATTTAAGTTTCCTTTTCTAGCAAGTTGTTCAGATTGCAGTGTCTTAACACATACTGAGTTTAGACTTCAGTGAATCTGGAGAATATTGCACTAGTTACATTTAACATACGTTTACGGGGCCCCCTTTCTTGTGTAAAAGTGACCGTCACTTTTGATGACACATCTGGCCCTTTTGGGTCACTTTTTTTTAACAACGTCGACTTTTGGTCACTTTTTTTCACGTTGAGGCCGCTTTTTGGTCGTTTCTGGTCGCCTTTTAAATTTTGGTCGCTTCTGGTCGCTTCTAGTCGCTTCTGGTCGCTTTTTGGTCGCTTCTGGTCACCTTTTAGGGTTTATGTGACATGTCGCTTTTACACAAGAAAGGGGTCAAAATATCCAGGGTGCGTTTTGTTTAGACTTGTTAGAAGAATTTTGATGACTAATTGTGCCATCTGGTATCAAAATTCACGATAATTAACAAATTCACGTGCCTTAGGCTAAGAAGCTAGGATGTCTCAATCAAAGAGAAGTGTTTCCGGCGTATGGCAATTCTTCTCAGTACCAGATCCCGGAGCGAATCCACATTTGGCAGAATGCAAGGAGTGCTCTGCTTCGATCAGACGAGGAAAACCAGGTCAATCGGCCAAGGACTACCAGGTTTATAATTTTATGTTTTTTAGTAAGTTACTTAAGTACTTAGAGGTATTGCTGGACTAGCGCGACTAATGTGCAGTTTCAACTTTTATTACTAATCTCTCAATTGATCGTGTAATTAAGCTGTAATTGATTATGGAACCTAACATAAAATGTATAAACAATGAGTACAACTATAAAAGTAACGATTAACGAATCAATTTTAAGCTCGAGTTTGAATTTAACTTATCCAGGTAACGAGTTTGTGGGATCATCTAAAACATAAGCATCCCTTAAAACACAAGGAAGCAACTGCCATACGTGATCAACAGAAGGCAAAAAGACAGAAGTCTCAAGAAGCCGAGGCTGAGCGGAGATCCATGTATCAACTAACAGCAGCTAATCAGCCCACGATTGGACAAGTCTTGAGCGGCGCTACATTTACGAAAATGACGGCGGAACGTCAGAAAGATCTAGAGAAGTTGCTCTTAAAATGGATGACAGATCAGATGCTTCCCTACACGACTGTTGAGAATGAGCATTTTCAACATTTTGTTCACGGTTAGAATCATTTTAAACTTTAAATGAAGTTTATTTACTAAACAGTTCTATTCTAGGTTCGAGCTGTGATGACTCCAAATTAAAATTCCAATATGTTCGTGATGATACTTTATAAAAGTGACTGCTGTTCAGTATACTAGTGGCAGATTGTTAATAACTCGTAATCATGGTCATTTGCGAATTGGTTCAGATAATCTGATATCCGACTCATTCAGGTTTGAACAAGAAGTTTTCAATTCCATCAGAAAAGGTGATACGCACAAAACTGTTTCCAGACTTGTATAACAGAGTACAGTTTAAACTAAAGAGTTTCATCGATGACAACCTGAAAGGAGCTGACTACAGTCTTACCTGTGATGTTTGGTCGTCAAAAGCTTTGGATTCCTATCTCGGAGTCATTATACACTTTGTAACAAACGATTTCCAAAGAAAAGTAGTTGTTCTACGTTGCCTTCCATATAACCGCGCACATAGCGGTAAGTTCTAGCATTGAATCTAGAAAATTCATTTTATATCTAATCTGTATCAAAGCTAGCTTCGTGAATCGTGATCAAACTCAGCAATGTCTGCCATTTCTGGCCAATGCTCAGCAGAGCACGCTCATGTTTTATATAGTAGAAAATGTTGACCGTTACTGTTAGCTGGCTGCCTACTGCCCGCAGGGTGTCTATTTTCTAACGACTAACATGACAAATTACTTCACGCAGGTGACTCAATCAAGACTAATGTGTCATTTGTTCTGCGCTCGTGGGGTTTGTCGGAAGATAAGCTGCATTGCGTCATTAGCGACACCGCATTGAACATGAAGAAAGGACTGTCGGCCTGGACTTGGATAGGATGTTTTCTTCACATCCTGAATTTGATTGTGAAGAATTCAATATTTACACAAAGCGGAGTGCAAAGATTGATCAAGAAGATCAAAAACTTGATCAAGGAGTTCAGAACCCCTACCGGTGAGAGTCAACACATTTACATAAATTACATTCTTATTATTCAAAATTTTCATTAAAATGTGGCACTGAATTTAAATCATTTTAGCGACTTGCATTTATTATTTTTTAACTATGATATATCAAACTATAGACTATACCCGAATGCAGGGAAGCGTCTACTTAACGAGAACCAGATAAAAGATTCAACGCTACTACGACCTGTGGACACGAGGTGGAATAGTTATTATATGATGTTTGACGTGTTCCAGAGCAAAAAGGCAGCTATCACCGTAACAGCTCAAAATACGGACTTATCGTTGTCTGCATCACAACAGGTTAGTTGATAATAGCTCTTTAGACTCATGTCTCAGTCAGCACCATTTCACTCAGAACCATCTCACTCAGAACCAGTCAGAACCAGTCAACAAGTTTAAAAATTAATCCTCAGTATACTGCAGTTTGAGTATTGATGATTAAAACTTTTCAGATGACTCCTCACGATTGGGACCTTCTTACCAAGGTTATAGTCCTATTGAAGCCATTCTTCATCACAACTAAAGCTGCTGAGGGGGACCGAGTTTCTGTTTCGGAGGTCATTCCAAACATTAAAAAACTGGATTACGAGATCAGAAGTATGTCACTGAGTGGATTAGGAACTCTAAAAGCTACGCTGCTCTCTGAGATGGAACGGTATAGTTTAAAATTTGTTATTTGTATGAACTATGACTTGCCTTACCGACTATTATTGAAACTTATTACTCTCTGAATTTTTAGCAAAACGTACGTAAATTTGAACCTAATGATTAGGGCCAAAGACAACATGCTTCCAAATTTTAAATTGAATTAGGGCCGAATGTCTAATTAGCACCTCAGCAACTGTTTGACTTCTTCACCAACATGTAATTTTTCCCTCAGGTACTTCGTAACCAAGTACGATGTAGAGAAGAAGCCCCAATACTCAATAGCGACTCTTTTAGACCCACGCTTTAAAGCAGCAGCCTTCTCCACGAAAGTCAATGCCGCACTAGCTAAGCAGATACTGATTGACGAGATTTGTACCAGGATTCAGTCTTCACCACCGCAAGTTCCGGTAACTGATGTTTCTGATGACCCTTCAATAGTACAGTCTTCTGGCTCAACATGGGCAGCAATCCTGGATAGTACCTCACAGTCTGAAGAAGACGACGAATTCGAAGAAAATAGTGAGAAGATAAGGAGGGAAGCTAACAGATACTTAAAAGACTCACGAGTTGATTTATCATTTGAACCATTAGTTTACTGGAAAGCTAATAAGCAGAGATATCCGAACCTTGCTGAGTGTTCAAGGAAATATCTATCTGCGCCGGCGAGTTCAGCAGCACCAGAAAGATTGTTTTCTACAGCAGGGCACATCCTGAAGTTAAATCGCCTCAGCCTTAAGCCAACAAACTTTGAGGGGTGCTTGTTTCTCAAAAAGAACATCGGAACATTTGGGGACAACTTCGGCCCCTGTCCAGATGAATTCGAAGCCCCAAATAAAGATGACTGTCCCCCTTCTGAGCTGTGCACAGACGATTATTCTGATTCAGAGTGCTCAGATATTGTAATTTCATCAGACGATGAATCTTAGACTATGATATTTTTAGTTTTGTGTCCTGGTCAATTGGTCGTTTTATTTTCAATTTTACAAATTCGTTTACATTAACCTCTGTAAGTCTAGAAAAATTCCCAAAATTTCAACAAAAATCCTCGGTCAAATCCTCGGTAAAATCGTCAAATTTCGCAGAGGCCGAGGAATTTCGAATCTATTTTTGACCGAGGCCGAGGCGAACCGAGGAATTGTCCTCCTGACCGAGGCCGAGGCCGAGGAAAAATCGCCATTCCTCGGTAAAACCGAGGCCGAGGCCGAGGACTCGGTCGACCCTTGATGATTTCTAATTTCAACCTTTTCAAATTTAGGAGCTATAGGTACTTTACAATCTATCTCACACATAATAGCTTGATGATCCCCAATACGTTCATCAAGAACAGAAGATTGAACAAAATCTGCATAACAGTTAGTGAATATTACATCAATAGTAGTCTGGGTAAAATTGTCTCCACGTTTAGCAACTCTAGTTATCCCTTGAATGGTTTGAACTAGATTGTAACATCTCAAGGTCATATCTAATTTTTTGTACTGGGTGGATGAGATATTATTCTGGTCAATGTTTATATCCCCAATCCAGATAACCTTTTTCCCGTTCAATTTTTTCATGCAAAAATGAATGTACTCAATAAAGTTATCAACACTGCAATAATTTCCAGAGCGATAGAAGCAGCAAACATTGATCTTGCTTTTCTTAAGCTTCACCCATAATGCTTCAATGTTATCAAGCTTACTATCCATAACTAATTCTGTGTAAGCTAGTTTTTTGTTTATCATTAAGCCACAACCACCCCTAGAACTGTTTGGCCTGTCGCATCGCATAATGTTGAAGGAGGAAGGAATATTTATGGTGTCTGTGTCAATAGTATCATTAAGATTCATCTCATTTAGGGAAAGTATGTCTAGCTTATGATCTCGAATGAGTTGAGTAAGTTCATTACTTTTAGCTAAATTTAGGAGACCACCTTGAATGTTACAGTGACCAATGCAAAGGTTATGAAATTTGTCAGCTGAGTTGTGAATATTTGTCATTTCACAAAACGTGTTAGTCGTTGTGTCTGATTAAACTAAAATCAGGTGAAAATTATCCGCCTGTAAATATTTTCAATAGAAAAGTTTTAAACTTGAAATCAAAATAAATATTCAGGTGGAAATGTCATGTCGATTTCAATGGTGAGCATGGTACTTGATGTGCTTTGCTAGTTTAAAGATACCATCGCTGTTTAGATGCACATTGTCTTCCCCAAATCTACTAAAACAAGATGATTTCCTAAATCCAGATCTATCACTAAACAAAAATCGATTCATCTCTGTGGGTATAAAGCTAACAAACAAAAACAAATTCCAGCAATCTTGGGTAAGAACGTATCAGACTTGGACCGCTCCATATTTGCATTGCCAGTCAGACATGGTGGCCTAGGTATCTCCAACCCAGTTGAAAACTGCAATAGAGAATTCACAGCCTCAGTCACCATCACAAAAGACCTCACAGACCTGATTATCAACCAGCAAAACACCCTTGAACATTACAACATGTCAAATCAAAATGACACTATAAAAAGTCTCAAGGCAATCAAGGAGAAACACTTATTTACGGTTAGCAAATCAATAGAGGACAGTGTAAGAGATCCCAACCTAAAGAGATCCCTCCAGTTCATCAAAGAGAAAGGTTCAGGATGTTGGCTTACTGCACTTCCATTGAAGAGATTTGGCTACTCCCTGAACAAGATTGAGTTCCGTGATGCTCTGTACTTGCGTTATGGTTGGGAGATCCCTAACACCCCATTTCACTGTGCTTGTGGAGATAGAAATAATGTGAATCACACACTTATATGCAAGAAAGGTGGCTATGTTTCTATGAGACACAACAACATCCGCGATCTAAATGCAGAGCTGCAGCGTGAAGTATGCAGAGATGTAGTGACTGAGCCAGCATTGATACCCCTTGATAATGAAGAAATTGTTGGTACCAATGCTGATAGAGCTGCACCTGATGTATCCTCACGAGGTCTCTGGAGCACATTTGAACGAACATTCTTTGATGTCTGTGTTACCCACCCCAACTCACCCACATATGACAAAAAAGATATGGAACAGATCTATAAAGCTCATGAAATGAGGAAAATGAAAAAGTACAACAACAGAATCATCCAGGTGGAAAAAGGCACCTTTACTCCACTTATATACTCAACAAATGGCGGATGGGGTCCACAAGCCACAAGATACCACAAGAGACTCGCTGAAAAACTATCCCAGAAGAGAGGAGAAGACTATGCGGCTATTATGTGTTACATGCGCACCAGGATTAGATTCTCAATCCTCAGGAGCACCCTGATAGCGGTCAGGGGTGAGAGAGGGAGACGGCAATCGTATACATTGCCAGTCAGTGTAACTTCGTTTAACTTGATACCTGCCACCATGGACTATGAATGTTTCTAGACACTATCCTTTTGATATTGAGATATTGGTATTTCAGATCACGTGTACATCGTTCCTTTTTTTACGACACAGTAATTTATTGACACTCACAGCTATAATTTTAATCATTGAATCAGTATTTTTATCTGTGCTCTGCGAATGCATCACATGAATCAGTTTTTTAATCTATTAACTTATTACACATTTGTGCTCTGCTTTAGCATCACTTGACTATTTAAAAAAAATTGTTTGTTCAGGCCATGACCTTATAGTCAGCCAATTGGCCATTGCTATATTATGTGTATATTGTCTTAGTAAAGCTTATACTATAAAGCTAACAAACGAGTATTTGGAAGGAATCTTAGATAAAAAGATATTGATGTCATTTATCACTTTATTTCTAGCAAAACTTTCTCTTGGTAAAATGTTTATGATCTTAATTTTTGCAGCTGGAGCCCACGAGTGAAGTGACTGGATCAGATTATCAATAGAGCGATTGGTGTTATCAAGGGCCTTTGCTTTTCCTGTGAACTCATCGGGTGACAATAATCTATTCCTCATGTGTCGAGGACTCTCTAGGATTAAGTGATACTATCAATCAAATGAATACACAGGCAACGGAAATGGTCCATGGCTACCTTTTTTTCAGATCTCAATAATGTGTTCATTTGGGCCCTAAACAAAAAAGTGCTGCCTAGAATGGCCAGGATATGTAGGACGTAGGTGCGACAACTAAAACAATGTCAATTCCAACTAGTTGTGAAGCTTGTATGGACCTTTAGAAGTCGTTGGTTTACCACAGGAATTGATGGCAATACAAAATAGGCAAGGAAAATTCATGAAATGTATAATAGGGAACTTATTAATTAACTGATTAATCCATCCTAATGAGATATAACAAACAGTATAATTAATATAATAGTTCCCGGAGCAATTGAAAAACCGTTAGCGGTGCGAAAAGATTCTAAGGATGCACATCACGTTTCTTCAGGGGACAATAATGACTTAAATTGTAAATTAGCACTAAACCTACTAGATATAGTAGTCGTGCAGTGGGTGCACAGAGGAATTTTATTTAATCTCGATTCAGTAGGACCCATCAAAGCGATTCGAAATGTTGTGTTGATATTTAGAGAGGGGTGAAAAATTTATAAAATAGCACTAAACCCACTAAATGCTAATTTTAGTAAAGTCGTGGGTGCAAAGAGGAATTTTATTTAATCTCAATTCAGACAGATTATCGGGAAATCCGCGATAGCAGATAAAGTATGACAGGGAGTAACCCATCAAAGCGATTCGAAATATTGTACCGTAAGTGTAACTTTTAATACACGTTTATTGCACAACCAACGCTGGACATGACTAATTACTCCAATCTGGAATATCTCTTCCAAAACTGGGCTATTAATGCCCAGAGATTGCTTAACTAGCCTTCAGTGACTGGTAACGGACTTAGTGGTTGCCGGTTGAGACTTAAAGTTCAACAAAAACAACAATGGCGAACCTAGCAAGCGGCCACGGTCCTTTCGGTACAAATTTTCCTGCAGCATAGTCGGGACGCAACCCCAGGCATATGCACTCTTGTTATTTTCGCAGCTCTAATGAAAGCCACTACCATTCACACCATGGTTTGGTGAGTGACAGCTGCCCATCAATTTTGAAATCTGGGCCCAACTTGGATTCGAACTCGCAACATATCACAATGACCCCTAAATACTTACTTGAAAGCTATGCTTCACGTTGGGAAGCTTTTTACTGGGCGGAGCTCCCGCCGGATGATAATTAATCACTCTACAGTCGACTGTCACGTGACAAAAACGCCGTGATTTCATTGGTTAACCTGATAACGCGCCGCAGATCTCTATAAACACAAATTATTCATCGCGCGTGCAGTAAACTCAAATTAAGTCCTAATTTGTTACCGAAATTTGGCAACTATCAACATCATGGCACAATTAAGTCGCATGCCCAGTAAATTGCTAATCAAATGTACGGCACTAATAATACAGTCTACACTTACAGTGTATGAATTCATGAACAAATTTATTAAGGCAGATTGGTAGAACAACGATCGTAAATGATAATTTGTATTAACAGTGGAAAGTGTTCTTAAGGGAGACTGTTGTGCAGCCATGTCGGGAGTTATAAAACACCGAACACGACATTAAAAACACTTTCCAACTACAAAACTTAACCACTAAACCAGCTTTGAGCACCATTTCTAGGTTATGAGACGGCTAAATGATGCGAATAATAAATCCTCAGAGCTCCCAGTACTCTACATTAAAAACACTTTCCAACTACAAAACTTAACCACAAAACCAGCGAGATCTGAGCACTATTTCTAGGTTATGAGACGGCTAAATGATGCGAATAATAAATCCTCAGAGCTCCCAGTACTCTACATTAAAAACACTTTCCAACTACAAAACTTAACCACTAAACCAGCTTTGAGCACTATTTCTAGGTTATGAGACGGCTAAATGATGCGAATAATAAATCCTCAGAGCTCCCAGTACTCTACATTAAAAACACTTTCCAACTACAAAACTTAACCACAAAACCAGCTCTGAGCACTATTTCTAGGTTATGAGACGGCTAAATGATGCGAATAATAAATCCTCAGAGCTCCCAGTACTCTACATTAAAAACACTTTCCAACTACAAAACTTAACCACAAAACCAGCTCTGAGCACTATTTCTAGGTTATGAGACGGCTAAATGATGCGAATAATAAATCCTCAGATCTCCCAGTACTCTACATTAAAAACACTTTCCAACTACAAAACTTAACCACAAAACCAGCTCTGAGCACTATTTCTAGGTTATGAGACAGCTAAATGATGCCAATTATAAATCCTCAGAGCTCCCAGTACTCTACATTAAAAACACTTTCCAACTACAAAACTTAACCACTAAACTGCAGCTCTGTGCACTATTTCTAGGTTATGAGACGGCTAAATGATGCCAATTATAAATCCTCAGAGCTCCCAGTACTCTACATTAAAAACACTTTCCAACTACAAAACTTAACCACAAAACCAGCTCTGAGCACTATTTCTAGGTTATGAGACGGCTAAATGATGCGAATAATAAATCCTCAGAGCTCCTAGTACTCTACATTAAAAACACTTTCCAACTACAAAACTTAACCACAAAGCCAGCTTTGAGCACTATTTCTAGGTTCTAAAACGACAAAACGATGCGAATTATAAATCTCCCACTGCGTAAGCCGGTAAACTAATTAACCGGCTAAAAAAGCTGAGACGGCTATTATGTATTATCGTAACGACATGATCACGGCCGTTAAATGGCTATTAGTTGACTGTTCATAACAGCTGCTCTATATTTGTGCGCTCTATCATAAGGTTGTTTCAGAGCTGCTAAACTCCGGCTAATATAACAAGCCTTTTTATATAGCCATTTAAGAAGGAAAAATACTTAGCACTTTACAACCAACAATCACTCATGTTTTAAACCTTTATAGCGAGTCGGCATATTACAATTTTACCGAAGTCAATTATTTTTACTTGAAAAGTATAAGAGTTAAGACTGCAGAATCTTTAGTATTATAAGTATAAAAAGCAGAAAAACACGCCACATGAGGTCTCAAAATATAGATAACAGTAAGATTTTTAATCTGCCTGCACGTGAGATGGGGGGAATGTTTTTTATTCTTCTTCTTTGCAGGAAGTGGTAACCTGTTCTATCCCTCTAGTTCTTTTTGTTGTTACGCCACTGCTTGTTGTATTTCCTGCTATCACTGGTTGTGTGTTCCGGCCCTGTTAGTGTTCTTGGACAGCCAGGACTGTTTTTCTTTGCTCCTGATAAGATATTTATGATAAGATATTTATGAAAAATAAAATAAGGAGGAAAGGAATTATTCAACGTTTCAATGTGACAACATCGTAATCAAACGTGGGATCAACAGAAATTTGACTCTCATAAATAATATTCAATTCGGATTTCAAATATAATAAGGAGCTAAATAAAGTAGTGTTTAAACCAAATTAATTGATGAGTACACCCGTCTTATTATATGCTATAGATTGAGTTATACAATATCAATATATACATCTATGCAGAATTTGATATGTATGAATCATGATTCCACCTAATTTGTGAACGGAAATTATTGCGGAATCGAAACTTTTTAAATACAGTAAAACCCCGATTGACCGCGGAGTTTGGGGGAAAGGAAACATCTGCGGTAAATCGGGGTTCGTGGTAAATCGGGGTTTTGTTTGTTTACATTATACTAATTGTATCGATGTAAATACGTTTGGTCAAAGAAGAGTCAACCTAAAAGTAACAATTACATGGTAGTTCAGTACACTAATAAATATGTTGAGGATATCAACCTTAACAAGATCCTGAAATCATTCTCAGACATGTAGACTTCCTCAAGTCTCATGGAATTAAAATCAAGTCTGAGAATAGAAAGCTTCCATATCTGTATGGTACGACAAAAATGCACAAGGACCCTATTAAATTTCGATTCATTACATCTGGAAGAAATAGTTCCTTGCAGCAGTTGTCTGTAGCTGTTGGATTATGTTTGAAAACGTGTCTGAAAGTTGCTAAAAATTATTCTGGGATTAATCTTACTTCGGAATATGTATTTTAGCATGACGTGTCATTCTTTTTGTTAGTTCGTTTTCAATTTTTGATCTTAATTTTAATTTTCAGTACGTTTTACCTAAAAATATCATTTTTTAGCTAGCAGAATGGTTTTCAGAGGGCATTAATGAAATGTACTATGAGCTGGTCCCAAGTCCAGACGCCATTTTATTCTTTGTAATTTTAAATAACACTGTCTAGTCATTGACTACTGAATATACATGGAAACATATGTGGTCATAAGCTATCTATACTATACATTGCACATCGTTTATTAATTGTAATTAAAGCAAGTCATTGAATGTTTTATCTGGCAACAGTGCACTGGGTAGGAATGTGAGTGTGTACTGTGTATTTTTTGTAGCTCGCTCAATGGTGAATCTTAACGTAGGCCAATTTTATTTAGAGATATCAATTATATCATAGCCAAACTGGGGAAGGTTTTCATAGTCAACTTAAACAAGTTGTGATTACATTACATAAGCTGACGGTTATTTTCGATTTTCTCAAGATCTAACTGATAGAATTTGAAATATTTCCTTGTGTTTGAAGTCATATCTCACGTTTGGCACATAGAAATTCGCGCAAACTTGCTCAGATTATCCGTCTTATAGACATGTGACTATCTGGAAAGTTTAAAGAAATTCTATCAGTTAGATCTTGAGATAATCGACTTTCGTCAAATATCGTACCAAAACCGCCAATTTGAGATATTTTAATGTGTTTGAAGTCATATCTCAAGTTTGGCTCATAAAAATTCGCCCAAACTTGCTCAGATTAATCGTCTTATAACCATGTAACTATCTGGAAAGTTTAAAAAATTCTATCAGTTAGATCTCAAAATATATGCCCGCGTTCCGCGAGAACGCACCAATTAGAGATATTTTCTTGTGTTTGAAGTTATATCTCAAATTTGGCATATAGAAATTCGCTCAAACTTGCTCATATTGTCTGTCTTATAGCCATGTAACTATTTGGAAACATTTTAAGAAATTCTATCAGTAAGATCTTGAGATAATGGACTTTCGTCAAATATCGTACCAAAACTGCCAATTTGAGATATTTTAATGTGTTTGAATTCATATCTCAAGTTTGGCACATATGAATTCGCCCAAACTTGCTCAGATTAATCGTCTTATAGCCATGTAACTATCTAGGGGGGGGGGGAGCCAAGGAGATATTTGTAGATATTTGTAGATTAATGTAGAATGAATAATCCACGAAAAAAGTGGTTGACATTCTACAAATTTATACATTTATCTCCAAAAATTCAGTAGAATTTCTGGGCACATATTTGAGATTACATTTTTGTAGATAAATGTAGATATTTGTAGATTATTGTCAATGGATAATTCACGAAAATTCTACAAATTCTACAAATTTATACATTTATCTCCAAAAATTCAGTAGAATTTCTGGGCACATATTTGAGATATACATTTTTTGTAGATAAATGTAGATATTTGTAGATTATTGTAATGGATAATTCACGAAAAAAGTGGTGAATTAACGTATCCAAATATCTACAAAAATCTACTTGGCTCCCCCCCTATCTGGAAAGTTTAAAGAAATTCTATCAGTTAGATCTTGAGATAATCGACTTTCGTCAAATATCGTACCAAAACCGCCAATTTGAGATATTTTAATGTTTTTGAAGTCATATCTCAAGTTTGGCACATAGAAATTTGCCCAAACTTGCTCAGATTATCCGTCTTATAAATCAAGAGGCTTGCATATAATGAACATGTTGACATGGGTGCAGAGTTGAGTCTGTACGGAACCTAGTAGTTTCAGTTCCTTGTTTAACTTGCCGTACAGCAAGGACATCCACTACTTTAGCCCGGCGAGGCACATAACTCACTCTACAACTCCATGTCAAATGTTTCATATATTCATATATAGCCATGTAACTATCTGGAAAGTTTAAAGTCAGGGTCAGGATCAGGATCAGGATCAGGATCAGGATCAGGGTCAGGATCAGGGTCAGGGTCAGGGTCAGGGTCAGGGTCAGGGTCAGGGTCAGGGTCAGGGTCAGGGTCAGGGTCAGGGTCAGGGTCAGGGTCAGGGTCAGGGTCAGGGTCAGGGTCAGGGTCAGGGTCAGGGTCAGGGTCAGGGTCAGGGTCAGGGTCAGGGTCAGGGTCAGGGTCAGGGTCAGGGTCAGGGTCAGGGTCAGGGTCAGGGTCAGGGTCAGGGTCAGGGTCAGGGTCAGGGTCAGGGTCAGGGTCAGGGTCAGGGTCAGGGTCAGGGTCAGGGTCAGGGTCAGGGTCAGGGTCAGGGTCAGGGTCAGGGTCAGGGTCAGGGTCAGGGTCAGGGTCAGGGTCAGGGTCAGGGTCAGGGTCAGGGTCAGGGTCAGGGTCAGGGTCAGGGTCAGGGTCAGGGTCAGGGTCAGGGTCAGGGTCAGGGTCAGGGTCAGGGTCAGGGTCAGGGTCAGGGTCAGGGTCAGGGTCAGGGTCAGGGTCAGGGTCAGGGTCAGGGTCAGGGTCAGGGTCAGGGTCAGGGTTAATTGTCGCCCACCCATTTTACCATGGAAAATGTAGTCATAAGCTATCTATATATAATATTATACATTGCACATCGTTTATTAATTGTAATTAAAGCAACTCATTGAATGTTTTATCTGGCAACAGTTATTATACATAGTGTGCACTGAGTAGGAATGTGAGTATGTATTTTTTGTACTTATTAACGGTGAATCTTAACGTGGGCTGATTTTATTTGGTGATATCAATTATTTCATAGCCAAACTGGGGAAGGTTAAATAAAACAAGTTGTAATTAAATTAAATTAGCTGATAGTAGAAACTTTTCGCAAATAAACTGTGAATTAACAGTGAACAGTGAACACATATAATTTGAGAGAGAATTGATTCGTTCACCGGACACATACATTATACTGTCCAGAGATATTATGGGAGGTTCAAGCTTATTAAAAGATTCTTTGAACTTTTGAAAAGTAGCAAAAATTGAGAAAAATTGATAATCTAGGAGGGGATAGGGAGTTGGTTCAAACATATAAGTAATAAAACATGTTTTATTTTGCAGAATTATACAATATGCATATGTTATCGTCTTCGACTATAAGGGATGATGGGGCGATGACGTGATTATAATTATATATGATAAAGTTCCAGGTGATGACTAATTGAAGGCGTGTAAGTGTGAGGATGAAGAATCAGCCTTGATGCATGAGCTGGAAGGGTGAACGAGGTAAAAATATGTACATGGTACAATTTCATAGAAACTGAGAACAAAAATCCTTTACATCAGTACAGACCGATATGCTTGCCTTCAATTACAAACCTTGCTTTAAAAATGATATTGTTATTCAAGTTAAAAGCCTTCGAAGTTTTTTAATAAACTATCGCATGATATTGTATATCAATCAAATTGCAACTCTTAAGTTAACTTGTTGTTTAATTGTATTACTGAGTCATAAATGAACACTTGTAGTACGTACCTATATGGCGGTTGATCTGCAACTTGTCCCATGCTGATGAACCTGATAATTAAAATATTTGTTGTAAATATCCATAATATTCACACTAGATTCTAGACGGCAAAGTTCGAATTGCAGTCGGAACTGCAGAGTGGAGACGTACATTTTGTTAATTTACTAAAGTAACTGGTAAAAACACTTCTATGGAAATAAAACCAGGTTATATAATAAATTTATAGTCTATTAAACTACATCGATAATAGTATATTATATGGATAACAATAATAATAATATCAGTTTCGGCTGCTCAGGTCAAAATTCGAAAACCTATCATTTTATGCAGCCTAGATTTAATGATTCAAATAAGAAGCGCAGTGTTTCTAAAGTAAGACCGTAGACTTCTACAATAGCTGGATCAGCTATGGCTTAAGGAAAAACAATATATGCTCTTCGCATAAAAAAAACACAATTAAAACGAATGCAAAATTTGTGATTCTATTTCTAGGATGACATATCAAAAATATTTTTAAATAGGACTCAAGCAATCAGGCGTAATCTAAACTATAGTTTATTGATACTTCAACTTGGCTTTGCTTTATATTAAAATCTCAGCATTTTGATCCAGCGAAAAATTCTATTTGTACCTCGACTCATATGTCATACGAAACAGTACACTAGAAAATACGGCTCAACAATTTTAACTTCTGAAGGCGGCTCTGTATCATTCTACATTCTGACAACAGTCCTTCTATGCTATGTCAACAATTTAAAAACCTATTCATTCAACTTATAGGATTTCAAGGTATTACACAAGTGGCAATGATGAATCATGGATGATAATTGATTATTGACGAAAACTCGACAAGCAAGTTTGAAACCCAAAGTAAGAAATCGGGATCAAATATGATTGACACGTAACGCGCGCGTATAACATGTGCTTATCCAATGCGAAACTAAAAGTGGTGAAAATGGAAGAATCGACTGTAGAGTGATTTAGCGCGACCGGCTCCCGCCGAATAACATTCTCAATTCAATAGCAATCAAATGTTTACAATTAAACCAAACTGTGCACAATTGTAATGCGTGTGATATAGTTAAGAGACAAATACACGGTAAAGTAGGGTCAAGTAAAAATTATGACATCACATCATCATACATGTCTAAAAAATATCATCGCATAAAATATAAAATAAATATTTCCCCACCAACATTAACTATTTACCAAATAAAATATTCTAAAAAAATTTATCAAAACATTATCCTATAAAGATCTTATCAAACTTCGCAGTGGAATACAAATTTATAAATTGCTTCCTTGCCACATGAGGACGAAACCAAACACAATTGTTATGTTTCTCTTTATTACTTAAATTTAACAATAAGATTTTTTGAAACAGTGTACACATAATGTCACAATGACCCTATATAAAAATAACCCTTCAAAAAATCAATATTTTGAAAATCACCCTCGACCCTGTTATGGGCTCCAAGTTCAAATCTAAACTGTATATATTGACAAAGTTCTTACTCGCCCCTCTGTCTCCCTCTTTCTTACTGACAGAACTGGCTGGGTAAATATTAAAAAATACGTGGTAGAGAAACAAAACAAAAACCAATTTTTTTATTAATCATTCTGTAATCAAAAATTAATATTGTAAACAATAATGTAAGACAGAGAGATTTTAAAAAGATTATATATTTAAAAAAGATCCTGTCCTCATTTGAAGGTTCGATGGTTGTAGCGCAATGCACTACTGGGCCACGCCGCACATCAAATAATTGTTCTCGCAACCGGTATAGATCGGCGAAATGCACATCGGTGAATTGGGCCTCGCCTTGTATCACGTCGTGACCCACATTGTCGTTTTACTAATACAGGGGAGCCGCGCACGAGGGTCATACAATGTGTGACAAATTTCGACAAGAAAGTGGCGCACTACTTTGAAAAAATTTAAACGAGTATCACCCGTCTTTACATACAACATAGCCATGTGTTTACGCGTACTGCGTGACGTTGCTCTAACCATGAACCAGAGCCTCTCGCTTCATGTGAAACAAGCGCGTCACGCAGTACGCGTAGACACATGACTATGTGAATGCGTGACACACTTGTTTCACAAGTAGAATATCTTTGCCGCCTTCGGCGGTCGCGCGCTACTGCAGGCGAGAGGGATCTGGTTACAGCAATCACCCGTCAAAATTAATGATATGGCACAATATTTACAGTTTCAAAGGTTTTTTTGTAGTTTACTATATTCTACTTGCTAGTCCATCTATATTATAATTTAAAGTATTATGTTTGTTTGCACTTGCCATAATATTTCGAGAAGAAATCGGTGCGCGCTTCTTCGAAGAAATTTAGACGAGTAATATCTTGGAGGACTTCGCCGCTTCGATGCGCCGCGCAAGCTAGCATTCTTGCTTCGCGTCGCAGAGCTACGATCTGGAAGGGTTGACATCGTCAATCAATGATCAAGTAACATCTGTCAATAACGAGGGTTATTTTACACACATGCACGTGCAATCATTGTTGGAACGACGCGACATTTTCAACATAAGGAAGCAGCTTCGTTTTGAAATCCTAATAAGAACAACAGTGATTTCTTTACGGGGAGACAGAGGTGCGATAAAAAACTTTATAACAAGTTCGGCCTAAAATTTGACCATTGTTAATGATCTGGCCCGGCGCGCGCTACTTCGTAGCACGTGCCATCGTTTCGAGAAAATTACTTTGAAGAAATTTAGACGAGTAACGTCCGTCAATCTAAAATATGTAAAAATTTTAGGTTTGATACCGTTAGTAGTGTCAACTGTCATCAGTAATACGAATCACAAAATGGAATAAGGTTCAAGGGGATTAGCTCAACATAAGCTTCCGTAACAGTGTTTCCCAACCCATCCTAACAGCTATATAAAATTGGTTATACATTTGAGGAAGCAACACAATATTAAATAATACTGCATATGTTGCTCTAACCAGAGCCCTCTCGCTTGCAGTAGCTATTAATGCCCAGAGATTGCTTAACTAGCCTTCAGTGACTGGTAACGGACTTAGTGGTTGCCGGTTGAGACTTAAAGTTCAACAAAAACAACAATGGCGAACCTAGCAAGCGGCCACGGTCCTTTCGGTACAAATTTTCCTGCAGCATAGTCGGGACGCAACCCCAGGCATATGCGGTCGCGCTAAATCACTCTACAGTCGATTCTTCCATTTTCACCACTTTTAGTTTCGCATTGGATAAGCACATGTTATACGCGCGCGTTACGTGTCAATCATATTTGATCCCGATTTCTTACTTTGGGTTTCAAACTTGCTTGTCGAGTTTTCGTCAATAATCAATTATCATCCATGATTCATCATTGCCACTTGTGTAATACCTTGAAATCCTATAAGTTGAATGAATAGGTTTTTAAATTGTTGACATAGCATAGAAGGACTGTTGTCAGAATGTAGAATGATACAGAGCCGCCTTCAGAAGTTAAAATTGTTGAGCCGTATTTTCTAGTGTACTGTTTCGTATGACATATGAGTCGAGGTACAAATAGAATTTTTCGCTGGATCAAAATGCTGAGATTTTAATATAAAGCAAAGCCAAGTTGAAGTATCAATAAACTATAGTTTAGATTACGCCTGATTGCTTGAGTCCTATTTAAAAATATTTTTGATATGTCATCCTAGAAATAGAATCACAAATTTTGCATTCGTTTTAATTGTGTTTTTTTTATGCGAAGAGCATATATTGTTTTTCCTTAAGCCATAGCTGATCCAGCTATTGTAGAAGTCTACGGTCTTACTTTAGAAACACTGCGCTTCTTATTTGAATCATTAAATCTAGGCTGCATAAAATGATAGGTTTTCGAATTTTGACCTGAGCAGCCGAAACTGATATTATTATTATTGTTATCCATATAATATACTATTATCGATGTAGTTTAATAGACTATAAATTTATTATATAACCTGGTTTTATTTCCATAGAAGTGTTTTTACCAGTTACTTTAGTAAATTAACAAAATGTACGTCTCCACTCTGCAGTTCCGACTGCAATTCGAACTTTGCCGTCTAGAATCTAGTGTGAATATTATGGATATTTACAACAAATATTTTAATTATCAGGTTCATCAGCATGGGACAAGTTGCAGATCAACCGCCATATAGGTACGTACTACAAGTGTTCATTTATGACTCAGTAATACAATTAAACAACAAGTTAACTTAAGAGTTGCAATTTGATTGATATACAATATCATGCGATAGTTTATTAAAAAACTTCGAAGGCTTTTAACTTGAATAACAATATCATTTTTAAAGCAAGGTTTGTAATTGAAGGCAAGCATATCGGTCTGTACTGATGTAAAGGATTTTTGTTCTCAGTTTCTATGAAATTGTACCATGTACATATTTTTACCTCGTTCACCCTTCCAGCTCATGCATCAAGGCTGATTCTTCATCCTCACACTTACACGCCTTCAATTAGTCATCACCTGGAACTTTATCATATATAATTATAATCACGTCATCGCCCCATCATCCCTTATAGTCGAAGACGATAACATATGCATATTGTATAATTCTGCAAAATAAAACATGTTTTATTACTTATATGTTTGAACCAACTCCCTATCCCCTCCTAGATTATCAATTTTTCTCAATTTTTGCTACTTTTCAAAAGTTCAAAGAATCTTTTAATAAGCTTGAACCTCCCATAATATCTCTGGACAGTATAATGTATGTGTCCGGTGAACGAATCAATTCTCTCTCAAATTATATGTGTTCACTGTTCACTGTTAATTCACAGTTTATTTGCGAAAAGTTTCTACTATCAGCTAATTTAATTTAATTACAACTTGTTTTATTTAACCTTCCCCAGTTTGGCTATGAAATAATTGATATCACCAAATAAAATCAGCCCACGTTAAGATTCACCGTTAATAAGTACAAAAAATACATACTCACATTCCTACTCAGTGCACACTATGTATAATAACTGTTGCCAGATAAAACATTCAATGAGTTGCTTTAATTACAATTAATAAACGATGTGCAATGTATAATATTATATATAGATAGCTTATGACTACATTTTCCATGGTAAAATGGGTGGGCGACAATTAACCCTGACCCTGACCCTGACCCTGACCCTGACCCTGACCCTGACCCTGACCCTGACCCTGACCCTGACCCTGACCCTGACCCTGACCCTGACCCTGACCCTGACCCT